TGGGACAGAGTCCAGTAAAAAACTGAAAATAATATGAACACACATTCACAAATAGGCCCTATACGTACCCCCTGTTGACAGTTCCACTGTCGTCCATCTGTATATCAATTCCTTCATAAAAACCTATGTAAAAAACTAAAAAACTAACGCCGAACGCTTCCGCACTCGCCGCTGCGAGTGTGCTGTGACGCTATGATAATATCAAGGAGTGGCTATAATAGAGATGCACTCTTGATAATATATATATATATTATATATATTATCATAGCGTCCCAGCACACTCGCAGCGGCGAGTGCGGGAGCGTTCGGCGTTAGTTTTTATATAGGTTTTTATGAAGGAAAGTTGATATACAGTGACGCAACAGTGGAACTGTAATTGAGAGGTACGGTAGTAGGGCCTATTTGTGAATGTGTGTTAATATTATTTTCTTATTCTGTCCCAAGTGCCTGTGAGAAAAAGAGGCGAGAGAGTCTGTGGGAGCGGTAGAAGAGAAGGAGACGGGTATTGATGCCAGTCAAATAGGGAGTCAGTAGAAGAAGAGAGAATAGCGATTTTCACCATGTGTACGCAGCAGCACCACGTTACTGTTATATAACCAGCCGATTCACGCACAGGCACTTGAAGCGTTTTAATAAAATATAATGCTAAATAAATACGAAATCTATTTACTAACAAATTCTTAATGTTTATAACTACCTCTTTCACCTATATTGCTGAGCAGTTTCCTGTAAATTCCGTCCAAATCCTCTATGTGCAACACACGCTAGCGGCTACCGGCCGCCATGGCTGCCGCTGCTCACTAACACTTATATATATAATAAATATATTTCGTATTTATTTAGCATTATATTTTATTGAAACGCTTCAAGTGCCTGTGGATTCACGCACTCACGCACGCACACCATAACGACCATTATCTCGAGACACCGAGTTCCTGTCTCGCGCAAAATTAGTGCGATTTAAGATGATTCTCAAATAAATCGAAAAATAAATATATATAGACAAATTAGGTCACACCTGTTAGCATCTATATAACACTGATTACTCCAGCAAAAATACTACTTTTTTACTGAGTTTGTGCTGTTATGGCAATAAATAGAAAATGAACAGCAAATTTGTGCCTGCCTTCCACAGATTCGCAATAAGGAAATATGAAAATACTTCCACAAAACAAGACCACCTGTTTATGTGACGTTAATTGTTCTAGAGCGGTATCTATCTCGTCACGTAGACAAAGATAACACAGCAACAGGGCAGCGATCGATGGCATCTCGTGAGAATCACGTACTATTGATGTTGACATATGTAAACGAATCTACTTTGAAATACAGCTCGGCAACACATATTGGTGAAAATAACGATGTGTGTGTGTTGCCACTGTGTTCCAACGCATGTTAGCCTTACTGTATATTATATACACTTGGTAAGTTGGTGTAACACAAGAGGTACCGGGTTAGTATCAGAAATCTCGATAAAATATGAAACCGCTTGGGTAGACTCCTTGCCTTGATACTTGATGCAATTGTCACGATGAACGCCGATCGGACATGTAAGTACACCGCACCTATATCACAACAATAGCTGTTAGTGAGATCGGTGTTCGCAAGCGCACCAACCTGCCTGCTCGGCTGCATTGCAATGCCCCGGCTATTGTTAGCAGAATAAATAAGGGCAACTCACCTCCCTCCCACCCCCATCTCGGTGAGTCGCTCTCGCTCCATTCCTCCCTCGTTCACTGCCGTTCTGTTCCTATCACTTGCTCTACCTCCCCTCCTCTATCCCCTTTTCTCCTGTGTAACTCGGTAAACAAGAGACTCGATAGCGTTCTCTCCCCCTCTCTCCCCCGAGCGACAAGACTCTGCCATCGTAATGGCACCGCAAGAATCTATCGTCGCCAAGGGAAATGTGATTTTACGTTTTGTAAAAGTAACAGCGCGATTTCGGCCTCGCTTCTACATTCGCTGGGATCACACGGACGCGGCTGCATTCTCAAGTCGCACTGCAGTGACTATTAAGGCCAGTCAAGCTGAAAAGCTCCTGACAAAAGAACCGGTGCGGAATGGCATGAATGGCGGAGTGTCTTGATATACAAGGTCAATTAATGACCATACAGCGAGAAAAACCGCGCGCAAGTATCCTGGCAAGCAATTACCAGATGTTGTTCCGACAAATTCACTTCCACTACACGTTTACATAGCTCCCGCTCGCTCACTCTCTCTCCCCTCTCTCGCGCGCTCTCCCAGATGTGCACTTTTGTTTACTCGCAAGAAATTGGCAATGTAACATGGATCTCCATTCTGGCATCTCGAGTATTTTGTAGCACGATCGCCATATTTTACTGGCAGCCATTCAAGCGATGGCCGTTTTTTTTAAACTAATTTAATCACCGGAAACACACGTCTACATCGGAAACACACGTCTACATCGGGCAATCCTGTTTACAGAATCAGTCAGCGACGAGAATTCCGCGGAGTCACCGTTTCACAACGGGCCCAGTAATCGCTTTACATCTATCTTTCCAAATGCAAACATTTGCATGTGAATGGCAACGTTTGTTTGCGACGCTTGTACACTGCGTGATCTACTGTAGTTAAGTTCCCAAGCTGTGCAGCTAACGGGCCCCTGTCAACCCAGTAATCCAAGACCATGCCTCCTCCCACGGTCCAACCACCACGACTAGTATTAAGTATAACAATACGAATATTTGCCAGATACTATGCATTTATCAGTTCAATCCCACTTTAGGACCCCCACAACGCAATTAGCTGCCAGCATAACCCCAGGGTGCGAAATTAACGCGAGTCCGGAGTCAAATACTCCCTGATTTCACATATGCAGGAGTCCGTGTGACTCCCTGATAATTCTGTTATACTAACTAGTAGTAATTCGTTCCAGAGCACGGCCTCACGGAATTACCGTATTTGTTAGCAAATGTCCCAAAAAAATTTGGCAGACGTACATCACATGAATCTTCAAAATAAGCACATGCTATATTGTTGTTACACTTTAGTTTAGCACTTTAGACTGCGGACTCCCTCATTTTGCTATGGATTCCCTCTTTTTGAGGCCAGGGAGTCCGTTGGACTCCCTTGTTCAAAAGTTAATTTCTACCCCTGTAAGTGTAACCCTACACGTAACCCCTAACCCTAACCTGATCATAAACCCATCATTAAAATCCTGATCGTAAGGCAGAATCAACCACCTATTCACTTCAGTTCGATATTCTGCAGCAGAAACACGAATGTACAGTAGGCCAAATAACTAGGCCTAACACGAATAGTAACACCATGAACACAAACACTCACCACACACACACATGAGTGCACCCACTCACACGTATCTATCTATCTATCTATCTATCTATCTATCTATATATATATATATATATATATATATATTATATACATACATATATATACAACCACATATACATAAGATAATGGATCACATGTAATTAATGATTTAGCGCTAATACGCATGCCTACCTTGCCGTGGATGCTCTTCCTGCCTTCCGGGGAATCTTCCGGTAGGAAGTAGAGACGCGACGACGACATCTGTTGCTTCGTGTTTCTATCCTCCCACAGCAGCTGCATCTCGCCCACGCACACGGGATCCTTCTCGGAAATCCTCACGAAGAAGAACTCACCCAGAGCGAGCACCTTCGCTTGACCGTCGACGACGCATCGCATCGCCTTATAGAACAGATACGGTCCGTGCTGCCCGCAAGGCTTGCCAACAAACTGCGGAGAGAAAAAAATCATTCGCAATAGATGTCAGTAATCACAGCCGGTCGCTCGCTACTAGACGACACTTCCGAACAGCTCTACAGCGTGCGAGAGGAGAGAGAGCGAGTTAATCAAATAATCGCCACTTATGTGATAGCAGGGATTTGCCTGATAGCACGCAGCAAGCAGGCTTGATCTACAACGATGCAAGATTCTTATTCAATCCTACTTTAGGACCTCGCATTTTGACGATGAATTTAGGATTAGGTTAGGGATACGGTACGTTAGATCGATATTTAGATTAAATTGGGTTAGTGTAACTGTTAAGGATTTGGTGATGATAACAGTGATTCATACACAATGGTTCCAAAGTGGTATTGTGAAATTTTGATGTGTGCACTGCTACATCTAGTACAATGCTGAAAACCCCTGCTGCCAGTTAGGTCTGGGAACTGCTGAATTTTTTATTCTCATTTCCCGATTCATTAATGGATGGCAATATAAGAGTACAACAGCTGTAGGTTATTATGGGTTAGGTGTAAGAACAGGGCGATGATGGGTTATACATCGTGGTCCCAAAGACCGAGCCTGATTATATGCAAGTAGGCCCTACATAGGACCCAGGTTACATAACTGATAACAACACAAATGCCATTACTTTCTGCAATTTACGAATAGAAACATTCCCACCAAAACCAGAATGTTCCATCCCACACTATAAGACGCACTCCGACAAGCATTATCCGTGCTATTGCTAACAATTACAACGAGAATCGCTCGCCGTTTCTGTACATCGATTCTCGGATGTTTGAGTGGGCTGCCTGAGCTAGCGAGGTTCAACGGTAACGACACACGCTGACACCGGAGCGAGCGCGCGGCCTAAATTACATTCTTCCACATTACACGAGATCGCAAATGACTTTTACGAAATGATTCGAACACGCGTGTGTCGTCGATTACTTCCTACCTGGACTTTTTGAGTTTCCATTGCTTTCATCGATGTTTTCTTCGGTTAATCAACAGCTTCGGCATCACGCAACGATACACACGCTCCGACACTACATACAAATTGATAGCCGCGCTGTACTGTAAACACTCTCTAATAGGCGTGACGTCACATTGCGGCAATTCTCAAATATAACTTTAGAGTTGACAGGACTCGCATTTAAAAATTATTAATTTCAGTCAAACATTTTTATAAATCGTATGTTTTCATTAGAAACATTATAGTTTGCAACACTAAAAAATTGTCAAGACGCTGTGTGATTTCGATAACATTCTGTTTACGTTGGGAGGCGTAATGGCGACCGGAAAGTAGGTCCTATGTTTCGAAGTTTTACTTGTAACAAGTATACTTTCTTCTTCTTTTTACACACGTAATTATTCGTGAGAACATACAAACCAGACAGTTTCAGTTTCAAGTTTGATTAACTTTATCTCGCTTCCTCTTCGGATTAGTCCTTTGGATTTTGAGACTAATAATTCATTAATTGTGATGTTAGTTTTGTTAGTGTTACTGTTACGTACGAAGAGTAGGCCTAGATAGTTTGAACTTTGAGACCCCCGCAATATGTACTATTACTAAACTAATAGTAATATGGTCCATGGGCATGCCGCATGGGGTGCTAAACTAGGTTTGTGCTCGGCCATGTTAAATTGTGTAATGCAAAATCATAGTCCTGTTCTGTGCATCATAATTCGATGCCTTTCTTCAATTCTTGTAATATTCCGCCATAATTAAGGTGAACATTGAGCAGTTTGTTTAAAATTGGAATTCAGACGTCTACACGACTATTACGTAATACTAATAGCAATACTAATACAATTGTTTTATTTGCGAAACTGCATTTGTTTTCAAGCTACAAAGTTCTTTATATGGAAGGGTGTCAGGCTCATACGACATGAAACAGTCGTAGAGCCTGGTTGTGCTAACAAGCGTCTGGCCTAATTCAGTATATGTAGTAGTACCCCCTAACGTATACTATGAAATATCATAAGCGAACTCATGATGACTTTACGTTTTCATTGCAATCTGTTATCTACCCGTCTACTTTCTTCTAATTTCATTATATATGCATATACACAGTTTATTTAATAAATTAAGTACTGACTACTGTAGAGATTGCATGTCGTTGCTGTTGTTGTTATTACCAGGTTTATCTTTAGATAGGGGTCTTTATCAGGCGATGGTGTTGCACATTTAGTGCAGTGTTGTAACTAAACACTACTGTATATGCTGTATATTTCGCGGTGGTTTAATTTTCGCGAATTTTGCAAACGCGTCCCCGACCGTGATACTAACAACACGCGAATAATTCATACCAAATAATTCATAATTCACCGACCGCGGAATTAACCACTTGCGAAATTGTCCGTCAAGTCTGAATTCGCGAAAATATCTGTACGCGAAAAATATGGCGTATACAGTACTCTAAATACTGTCACAATCTGTTCCTTAGGTGAGGTTGCCGTGCATTGACGATGAGAGATTGCTCGGACGAACAGCAGATTGAGACGGCGGGGGCGTCAGCGAGTGGTCGAGGTTTCGGACGCTGCAGCTGGTGGATCCTCACTGTGGTAGCGTTCGTCATCGGTGCTGCTGGGCTCATCTCGATCTCCATCCTCTACACCCGCGGCAAGATCGACTACGACGTATGATGCAAACTACATTGGTTCAATCTTTGTCCACATAACCCCGTAAAAAGCATTTTTCATAATCTAAGAGACTGTGACGAAAAAGGAGAGAACCCAAGGTTGGTCGTATTGACAGATCAACACTGAAGATCACTGTAGAGAAATGTTTAAAATATTTTTTATTGTAGGGCAAGTATTTCCTTGGGTTTATTTAAAAATTTTAAGGCACCATGGCAAATTGGAGGGGTACCAAGCTAAATAGTTGTTTTTTTCATTGAAACTGTGTGTGTGTTTCCCCAACTTAAACTTATTGACTAGTGTGTGGCCTGTAAGCATTCGCCCACCTGCTGCTCGGTTATTTGTCGTCGACATATTCGTCATTGTTTTTTTGTGCACCAACGACTTTATTTGACCCGTTAGCACTGCGCTTGGAAAAATCGCTGCAAGAAATTTTGCAAAACTTGTCAACCGAAAAACCGGAACAAAACAGAAAGTGCAAACATAAATGAAATAGAAATCTCAGCGTCTTTAGACTTTAGTCCCGCGTTTCCCTCGTGCAGTTCCTGAGGCCCCATCTTATTCCCATCTAGTGTTTGATGTTTAATTTACCTGCGCCGGGACCTCCCTGTTACTGTGGCACTGGTTGGGGCCTGGCAGGCTCTGTTTTTAAGCATTGGCATTGTGGCTTTGGTCGGGTGTCGTCCGGTGATAGATATAATTCAATGAGGCCACGTTGGGCTTTGCGTTTTAGGACGTGAGACAGAGGGCATGCAGGTGCAAGGAGCAGCTCATGCTATTAAAAGGAAAGTCGCGTGTAAACGAAAGCTCTGAAGGCTGTGAGTGTGCTGAGAGAAGGTTGATGTCGTCACGTGTTTTCCGCTTGTAGTACGGGATCGTGATCGATGCCGGGTCGACGCACACGAAGCTGTTCGTCTACAAGTGGGACCCACACAAGAGCAGCGGCACGGCCATTGTGCGTGAAAGCGGCCAGAAGAATAATAAAAGTATCCTAGCCATGCAACACCACGCAATACCTCTCTAACGGCGCACCATCCGACATCCCTCATACTCAGTTTCTTGAACCTGTCGTCACGTTTAGATGTGACGCGGTGTCCGATGTATGGCAGAATCACTGAACCTCGCACGCCGCGAGTTTGAGTGTGCTCTAGTGCAATAGCCAAAATGGTGGAGGGTTGCCCACCTCGTGTTCACAGGCTTTACTCAAATCTGCAGGTGTTGTGTTGCCGCTGCTTCGATAGCTGTCTACCTTTAGTGCATTCATGTAAAAATTTATTCCTCTGACAGATTTCCATCCTGGAAAAAATCTAAATTTTTCAAAATCAAAAACAAAGAAATGGTTAGGATTATAGATTACATTTAATTGAGAATGGGTCCTGGGGTGTTTTGTTGTTGCAAAACTACCTGAAATTTGCTCACATAGCAGGAAATTGCATTAAGAATTAAAATCAATTCATGGGGGAGTATTCCCTCAGCACCCTATCAACACAAAGCGCGTACAGAGCCCTGCAGGCCTAGTTCGAGGCTGTTCGATAACTTATTTCGAGAAATTATTTGAGTTCTTTGGGTTCATAGCATCCATGGTACTGGACACGACTGCCCGTTTAGACTAGTGGCACATGTGACTTGCCATGGTCGAGACACCCACCTCTCTTGATAACTCATCCCCAGTGTCTCCTTACAGACGGCATCGCGTCGTACGAACACAACCCTGAGGTGGCAGGTCAGGTAGTTACCGATCTGCTCAGCCATGCCGAGAGCATTGTCGCAGAAGATCACCGGAACTCCACGCCTCTCTACCTGGGAGCTACCGGAGGCATGCGGCTGCTAGAGTAAGCTATACCTCTCTACCTGGGAGCTACCGCAGGCATGCGGCTGCTAGAGTAAGCTATACCTCTCTACCTGGGCGCTACCGCAGGCATGCGGCTGCTAGAGTAAGCTATACCTCTCTACCTGGGAGCTACCGCAGGCATGCGGCTGCTAGAGAAAGCTATACCTCTCTACCTGGGAGCTACCGCAGGCATGCGGCTGCTAGAGGAAGCTATACTTCTCTACCTGGGAGCTACCGCAGGCCTGCGACTTCTAGAGTAAGCTATACCTGCTCTACCTGGGCGCCTACGCAGGCGATGCGCGCGCGAGGAGACGAGAGCGCGCGACGCCCTGGGCGCTACTGGGCAGCAGCGACTGTTAAGTAAGCTATACCTCTCACGGACCGGCCCGCCTCCATGGGAGCTACGCGAGGCAGTGCCGGTCTTGCTAGAAGTGAACTATACCTCTCTATCCGTGGGAGCTACGCAAGGCGATGCGGGCTGCCGTAGAGTAACTATACCTCTACTGCGTGGGCCGCTGTACCGGGGGCGCGGGCGGGCCGGGGCGGGGGGGCGGTGGGGTGGGTGGGTGGGGGGGGGCGGGAGGGGGGCGGGGGGGGGGGCTCGGGGGGCAGATGGCGGGCGCTGCTAGAGTAAGCTAGTACGCTCTCTAACGCGGGGGGGAACCGCATGGCGGACATGCGACTGCTAGAGTTGCTATACCTTTCTACCATGGGAGCTCTACCCCGCAGGGATCGCGGGCTGCTAGATGTAGCCGTATACCTCTACCTGGGCCGCTTACCAGCAGGCATGCGACTGCTAGAGATAAGCCTATAGCTCTCTACCTGGAGCTACCGCAGGCATGCGGGCTGCTAGGAAGTAAGTCTATACCTCTCTACCTGTGGCGCGTACTGCATAGGCAGGCATGCGGGTCTGCTGCAGTACTATACTCTCTTACCTGGGCGCTACGCAGGAGCATGCGGCTGCTAGAGTTAAGCGATACCTCCTACCTGGGCGCTACGCGGCAGGCATGCGGCTGCTAGAGTAAGCTATACTTCTCTACCTGGGAGCTACCGCAGGCCTGCGGCTGATAGAGTAAGCCATACATGCTATTAGCATAATTACACATGTTTACGTGTACAACTGCTAAAGTAATCTACATGTATTCACATGTTAGAAAGACTTTATGGTTGCTAGACTGAGCTACATACAGTTACACGTTAGGTAGATGTAGTGATTGACAGAGTAGGCTACATAATTATATTGGGCATTGCATTGGATTGGCATATATAGTATTTGGGTGACTTTATTACAGATATGTACGTATCACTGTAAATTTCTCGTTATGTTCACCTGATCATGACTTACTGTGGCACGTCGTGTAATTAATAGTATGGCATTATTGAATCTCACTAATTACTAGGGACTACTACTTTGCTAAATAGTGCTCGGTAAAATATCTCATCATCGAGCCAAATTTGGCAGTTGATGTTTTGCTTTGCTGAGGCCAAATTAAAAATTTGATTTAATTCTAGGATAGCGAACCCACAGGCTACTGCTGCCATATTACAGTCTGTTGAAAAAGTGATGCAGAATTCATTGTTCCGCTATCAGTCGGCAGAGATTATTACTGGCGAGCAGGAGGGACCTGCTCCTGGATAACTGTCACTCCCTCGACGGAAAATCTAAATAAGGTGAGACCAGCTATAACCCGGTGACTATATACAACCTGGTGACCAGGTTAAAGTGTATACCGCGAGTTTTTTGGCTCAGAAAAACGAAATACAGTAAAAACCCGCGATATGAAGAACATAGATTTAAGAACTGATGTGTTAGGCTAAAATTTCCCATTTAGCCCCTTTACATAGAACCTGCTTTAGGGCTAAGATTTTAAAGTAGGTTCTTAAGTTTTCGCCATGCAGATGAAGACTTAAGAAGAAACACAGGTAAAAAAATAAGAGACGAGCGTCAACGAATATTCGCATGCATAAAGCAATACCAATGTCCAATGAATGCAATGCCAATGCCAATGCAATCTCAGGGACAATACACAATGCCAAGCACCCTGCATTGTTATTGAGACAGCAGTGACTGCATTATTTACATATACACGTAAAAACCTCGCTAAATAGAACACGTCCGATTTAAAGAACCACTCAGGCTGAAATGCGCGTCAAATTGCATATACATAAGAACACATTTCAGCCTGAATAAATAAAATTGCTTCTTATATAAAAAAAATATATAAACTCTCCATAAACACCTTTTAAAACACAATAACACTACTAGTACTGGTTAACACATGCATGCACAGTCACTAAGCCGGCGGTCAGCGCGGGTTTCAGCTAGGTACATATTAAAAGTAGAAACAATTAAACCTATTTATAAGCCTTTTGAGCCTAATTTCTTCAGTAAGCACCATTTTATATAAGAACATGTATGAGGCTAACTTGGAAAAATCTAGTGTTCTAACGCGGGTTTTACTGATATAGGCAGAATATAGTTCTCACCTGACAGTGGAAATATCACTGATTATACCAACATTCAAAACACCAAGATTTTATGCAGTTATAGCATAGAAAATTTGATTGACCACATCATACCAAGCAATACATTTTTCCCGAATAGTGACTCTCAAAATTACAAATGGCGTCTCAAACAAGCGAACATAATTAAAACAAAAGGGCGTGCAATTCTGTTTAAAATAAATATTATTGAGTTTTTATTGTCAATAATCAGAGCACTTTCTGTCATTTGTCATTCCCTTGTTACTATATCTGACTGCGCAATCCACAGCTTCTCTAATAACAGACTTTTGCTTGGCATTAGTACTACACTGCTGTTTACGCTAGTATGAGCGGCCTGTGTTTTACACTCTGACCTGATTTCTACGGTGCGTGGTATGCATTGCTGCACCGTGATAGATGTCTCGCGCTAACCACGAGAAAATTCGAGAGATGGCTAGCAGTAAACAGAAACAGAACACAAATGGTAATCGCTGCATGATTTCATTGGATTTGTGAATACGAAGTTCTAAGACATTTTATCGATACTAACTCAGCCATTGCTGTTACTCAAGCAATAACGGTAGGTATCATGAAAGTGGGGAAAGACGACTAGAAAATTCTCAGCGGCGAGCGGTAACAGCCACTTTAAAACGCAGTTTTTTTAGCTGTAAAAAGTTAGAAGAACCTGACGAAGACTACCACAAGTCGAAACTAGTCGTTCATTTCTAACTTACTTAGCATTTCTTAACGATAAATGTTTGTTTTAAAATGGCATTCACTAACCCACGTATTGAAACTACATGGGGTAGCACAGTGGAGCGCTGCCCCATAGAGGTCGTCCAGGCCTCTTCTTCACACATGTCTCTGGTAACCAGGTTAATTTAACCAAGTATTGTGAACTGATAGAGACGAACCTGTATGTAATGCCCACTCAAGAAAAATGCAAAACAAGTATCATAGTAAGGCACACACAAAAATAGGTGTGTTTCCTATTGCATCGAAAACAAAAGTAGGGTAGGTAGGTAGGGGATATTTTTTTTCAATATTTTTTTTTTAATACAATTTTACAGGTGTTTGCTAATTCGACATCTTACAGGTTATAAATAGGATTCCAAGTTTTGTCTGTCAGATTTCAAATTAAAAAACCTTTTTTCTTCTTTTTTTGGGAGGAAAAAAGTTTAGGCTTAGCCCTAATAATCTAGGGATGGTCGGTCGACCGGAAACACCTATTTTTTTGTTTGGCCTAAGGTGTCCATTTAATTTAGTTAGTTTTTCTTTATACTGTCAAACCTGTGTTTGGCAGTCATCTCTGTGCAACGAAACACCTGTTTAACGAAGACACTTCGGTATTTATCTTGCGTTGGTGTTATAGAGTGAAACCACCTCTATACACGACACTTCGATACTTCAACACGTCGATAAAGGAAACTTTTGTGGTTACCTTGAGTATACGACTAAATGATACGTATAACTTGATGACTCTCATATATGTGTTTGACTGTAACTGTTGCTCAAGGAAAGGAGCAGGAGTCCATTATAGACAGATGTCTGTTCTATAGAGGTGACCTCTAACACACTAACTCCCTCACGAGTTGCTGGCACACTAAACACATTCACTCACAATATCATGCGTATACTCTATAAGGAATTATTATTCGGACAATACCTCCATCCACCACTCCTCCATTTTTAGCTCACCTTGACATCGTCAAGATGAGCTATTGCCATGGGGCATCGTACGTCTGTCCGTCCGTCCATCTGTCAACTCATTTGGCTACCGGTCAACCGATAACTTGAGAAACCGTTTGACCCACATTTTCAAATTGACGATACTGTTCGTACTCCTGTAGGAGAGATCGTGAACGCTCCTATTTTGGAGCACCGTCAGTTGACGACTTTCGAGCCACGCCCTAACCTTTTTGGCAAAAATATTAAAATGGCCATAAGTCAGCTTCGGTTCAACAAATTTGCCTCTCATTTTTTGGTATCGTGAATGAATATAAGGACCCGGCGCCGCCGAAAACATATCAGAGCCAGGTTTAGATATTTTTTTTAATTATGCCCAAAATAGCTAGGATTTTTGGCATTTTCAACTATGCCATTCAGTGTCTGCTACGGGGCAATTATAATTCCATAAGAACCGTTTGACGGCCACAGTTCTCAAATTCTCATTACCAGTTGTTACTCCTATGGAGAGAGTTCTGAACGTCCCTAATTTTGAGCACGCCAGTCGACCTGACTTTTCGAGCCACGCCCGCGAGCCTTTGTTGGCAAAAATGAAAATGCCCATAGATCTAGATTTATTCGATTTTGTTAAATTTTGGTATGTGAATGTGTAAGGCTAGCCCCGAAACAGTTGTTACTCCTGTTGAAGAGACCTATGGAGATGTGCCTTCTATTACACCCAAGGTGAGCTACAGTGTCACACTCAGCTCTAACTAACTCGTTCCCCGTCCTTCTCCCTCCTTCTCGCTTTTGCTCTGTCTCTCTGTCTCTCTCTCGCCCTCTCTCGCTCCTCTCTCCCCATCTCTCTCTCTCTCTCTCCGTCCCTCCCTCTTACTCCATCTCCTCCTCCTTCCCCTTCTCACCCCACTCTCTGCTCCTTTATTCTCCTCTCTTACTCATGGCACCGGGCTCGCACTCATTCTCTGCACGACACACGAGCTCCAGCTTTCTCTTCTCTCGGCTGATCACCGTTATTCTCTTGCCAACTCACGCGCCATAGGTTCAGCTGGAAGGTAATCAGAGTTGGACGAAGGGAGCGCTGGACATGGGCGGAGCGTCGGCACAAATCACGTTCGAGCCGGCGGCCAACGAAAGCTGGCCATCCAAATACGAGGCCCGCATGAAACTGTACGGCATCGAATACCAGGTGGTTATCACGCGCACGCACACATTATAATAATCATTATAATTAGGGGTGCACCGGATCCAACTTTTTTAAGTTCCGGCCGGAACCGGAACCGGCCGGAACTTGAAAAAAGTTCTGCCGGAACTACCTAGCCAGAACCGGAACTTTAGCTGGGAATAAACTTGACAGTTTTGGCCCAGTATTGCGCAAACTCACTCGGCCTGAACGAATTATCATTAGCAGGCACATCACTTAGGCGAGTAGGACAATGCTCAACTTCTAATTACAGGATGGTTGTTACTGTTAGGTGTATGAATCAGCTGCTTACAGTGCATAATTTGCATAATTCTGGCATCTTATTCACGAGCGAATTCTGTGGCAAAAACTGCATGTTGCAGTATCCCTGGTTTTGGTCTATTATTTTCAACTAAACGGACAGATGCGATTCCTGTGGCTCTAAGAGTATTTGATTTTGAAAGAAAATCTTACGAATCACCTAACATTAGTTAGGTTCAGGTCAGTTAGTTAGCCAATGTTCAAGTGGCAAGCGTTTTTTGGGCAAAAAAGTGTTAACACTATATTGTCAGCAAGTTGACTCTATTGACTCTCAACTACATTCAGTGACTAATCTTTTGATTTTGATGACGCTTGTAGCAGAAATGTAATTAGGAAAAGTTCCTGTTCCGGCCGACTGTTTCTGAAGGGTTCCGGCCGGAACCAGAACTCTGAAAAATTGGGGATCCGGCTGAATAGTTCCGGCCGAATCCAAGTTTCGGTGCACTCCTAATTATAATGCAGCAATACTGTTAAAAGAAACGTAATGCAAGTTACCACATATGATGGTGTGCATAACATAAGTTCTCACACTCATGTGTATGCTATGATAATAATATAATACGCATAACATAAGTTCTCGCACGCGATAATAATATTGTCATGAACATAACATGGGTTTTCATATGCATGTATATGTTATAGTAGTGTAATAATGATATTATAAATAAGAATAATAAGTTGAGGCATCTTCTCGTATCTCTGTGAATAACTCGAAGCCGATGGCTGACAAGGGACTCCTAAACGTAGGTTTGCTTAACTCTATGAAAATTACTCGCTGCAATCCAATCTACATTTATGTGCAACAGCATCAGCGTACACTTCTATTTCTTCATGTAAAATTATTTCAGTAGTAAATCACTAACCAATGCTGCAGGCTTTTCTTCTATCCTCTAGTGTAATGTGCCACTGTTCTACACCCATCTCAAACTCATCCACATGAAATGTTTGCAATGACTAGTGGCAGTTTCTTTTATTGTGTGGTAATCATGTAAATTTCTTTTGAAGGTGTACACACGCAGCTTTCTTTGCTATGGCAAGATGGAGGCAGAGAGACGCTTCAAGGCATTACTTGTGCAGGTAGGGTGAAACATCGAGGGAGGCAGACAGGCAGGTGGAGAGAGAGGCAGGCAAGCAGGTAGACAGAGAGAGAGGGAGAGAATGAGAGAGAGAGAAAGAGAGAGAGAGAGAGAAAGAGAGAGAGAAAGAGAGAGCACGAGAGTGAGAGAGAGAGAACATCAGAGCCAGAAAGACTGATCAATACCAAAAAAATGAGAGGGTGTGAGAGCCACTCAGGACACGCGAGCATCGTACTAACGACCGGCTTCGTCAACGGCATTTTTCAGAGTGCGAATTACTCGAGCACGGTCGAGAACCCATGCGCTCCCAAGGACAACGTGACGAAGAGCAAACACGACGAGTTGTTCAAAGCTCCGTGCGTGACGGGACCCGAGGCGCAGTACGCGTGGGGCGCCGTCGTCCCCTCACCGCCCTCAGACCAGCAGGTAACTAACTACCTTCACCGTCACCGCCTCATCTTCTCACCGCTCTACTCCCACTCGCTGACTATTGAGCACGTGTTGTAACTATTACCGGGGGTTAATAATGACAAATGACAATGATAATGACGTAATGACATTTGTCATTATCAACCCCTGCTGTTACTCTCATCTGAAGCAAGTAGAGGTACTTGCCTACGCTGTCCTATCGAAAATGTTTTCGTTATCCGCCGCCACTGTCCTATCGTCAATGTTTTTTTGTGATCTACCACCGCCATTGTCTTGTCGTATGTTTTCGATTGCCGCCGCCGTTCCATCATAACTGCTTTTGTACTGTGTGTAAGGAGATGGGTATTGCAATGGTGGTGATTGTTGTTGTTTGGAGTATTGTGTGGTGGTTATGTGAGCTGAGGTTTCAGTTGACGGTACAGTATTGGGTTATTATGTGATGGTTGTGGTAATGGTTAAGTGCTGGCTCAGTGGAAGGAGAGTCCACATGTATGTATACAGTCAAATTTCTGTTACCAGTCACCTGTATATAACGATCAGCTATTAATAAAGGACACTTTAACTTTTACCCTTGAGTAGCAAGCAGTCATGCAGTGAAACCATCGCTCTAGAATGAACGTCTGTTTAGAAAGGGCTCTATTGGCATTTCCCATCAGTGTGTGCTTGCTTATGTACCAAAGTTTTCTTGGATTTAAAAAAAAAAGTTTTTGTTTTAGAACGTGACGTACACGTTTGAAGGCACGAGCGATGTGAATGCTTGCTACGTGCAAGTTCTGAACATGACCAGCAACTGCTCTGACTGCCCGTTCGAGAATCCTAGTTTACAACCCCCACTGAACGGAGAATTCATGGTTAGTGCCCGGTGGCTCCCTCGAGTGGCAGTGTCATGTACATCTTGGTCGATTGACTTCATTTTCGGATGTTATTACATCGTGATTACGTGCTATAGCATGTTAAAAATGTTATTACGTTTTCGTTACGATTTTTTACGTGTGATTCCTTGTTATTGCATTTGTGTATGCTTTATTGCATGTCATTCCGTTATTGTGAATATTGTTTAGTTGTAGGTGTGGACCATAGGTCCCTTGAGACAGCTATTGCTGTAATGTCATCTGTTCTCATGTGCTGTCTGTTACAGGCCTTTTCAAGTTACTACTATGTCATGGAGTTTTTTAACGTGACTTCAAATAGTTCAGGACACGTAGCACTATCCAATTTCACAGAAGCTATGAACAGCTATTGCAACAAATCATGGGACGAGGTATTTGTTTAGTAATACTAGTACTATTACTAGTAGTCCTAGTGGTGGTGGTGGTGGTGGTAATGGTAGCAGTAGCAGCAACAGCAGTTATAATATCAATGTGCAGCGTTTGTAATGCATGCTGACTATGTAGTACTGTGATGGTGGGGTGATGATGGTTTATTTTTTATATATATTATATATATGTTATTAGTTAGAGCGTAAGAGAGATTATACCTCTCTCTTTATCTGACACGCCTCGCCTGCATTCGTAGGTGAGCGAGATTCCGGTGCCGGCATCACAGAGGGCGTTTCTGACGACCTACTGCTTCGACGCGCAGTACATGAGCATGGTGCTGCAGCGCGGATTCAACTTTACTGGCGCCACCTGGGATTCACTCCGATTTGTCAAGGATGTGAGTAGTGAGAGCGGAACATAACCCATCGAGTTATCAATAATGTATAACGAACGATCATCCGTAGCCTGGTCAATAATAAATAATCACTAATCAGTCATTGCCTGCCATATAATAAATGGTCAGTAATCAGATATTGTGTCCAGGTAATGGGTAACCAATAATCAGCCATCACCTGCTGAATAATCAATAACCAATGTTTATTGCTTAATAATCAATTATCAATAACCAATATTTGTCGCCACGAGTAGGTAGCAGGATTGGTGGTTAGCTGTACACTTGGATTGATACTGAATTATATGGCGAGCATGCAAAATAACCAATAATCAATAACCAATGTTTATTGCTTAATGATCAATAATCAATAACCAATGTTTGTTGTCACGCATAGGTAGAGGGGTCGGAGGTCAGCTGTACACTGGGCTCCATTCTGAATGATATTACGATCATGCAAAATAACCAGTAATCAATAATCAATGTTTATTGTGCTCAATAATCAATAATCAATATTTGTTGTTGCGCGTAGTTAGAGGAGTCGGAGGTCGGCTGGACGCTTGGCTTCATGGTGAACGCTACGACGTTTATGCCGGACGCTGATGACACGCCGTCGACGATCAGCGTTCCCGTCTTCATCGTGCTGGTCGTGCTCTTCGCTCTCAGTCTCCTCGCTTCGCTCGCCTTCTGTGCTCACGCACACAGGGCTTCATCTATGACGCCTGAGCAGTATGAGAGGATGCCGTAGTACACGCCTGCATGCACGCTCGCATGGATACATGCACGCACACATACGTGCATGAATGCACTCACACACACGCACTCATACACGCATGCACGATGCAACACATAAACAAGCACGAACGTGCAGATGTATGCACATATGTACATGCACGCATGCAGACACGCCCGCCCGCACATGCACTCATACACGCACGCTAGCACACACAAATGCGCACATGTGCGCAGACACGTGCGCACCGAACATACACTGGCATGCACCCACATACACATGCACGCATGCAGCGCACACACAAACATTC